GCTGTCCCCTGCCCCGGGTGACGCGGTGCCCTGGCTGTCCCTGGCTGTCCCCGGTGTGTCCCCACGCTGTCCCCGCTGTCCCCTGCCCCGGGTGACGCGGTGCCCTGGCTGTCCCTGGCTGTCCCCGGTGTGTCCCCACGCTGTCCCCGCTGTCCCCTGCCCCGGGTGACGCGGTGCCCTGGCTGTCCCTGGCTGTCCCCGGTGTGTCCCCACGCTGTCCCCGCTGTCCTGTCCCCTGCCCCGGGTGACGCGGTGCCGCGCAGCGTGGACCGGAAGGGGCAGTACCACTACCTGGTGAAGTGGCGGGACCTGCCCTACGACCAGGCCACCTGGGAGGAGGACGAGATGCCCATCCCCGACTACGACCTGCACAAGCTGGCCTACTGGAAGCACCGGTGAGGGACACCGGGGACACTGGGAGGGACACTGAGGGGACATTGGGGACACTGGGGACACAGGGATGTGCCTACTGGAAGCACCGGTGAGGGACACGGGGGACACTGGGGACATGGGGGACATCAGGGGGACATGGGGGACACAGGGATGTGCCTACTGGAAGCACCGGTGAGGGACACTGGGGACACTGGGAGGGACACTGGGGACATCAATGGGACACTGGGGACACTGGGGACATCGGGGGACACAGGGACATCAGGGGGACATGGGGGTTACAGGGATGTGCCTACTGGAAGCACCGGTGAGGGACACTGGGGACACTGGGAGGGACATTGGGGACATCAATGGGACATGGGGGACACAGGGATGTGCCTGCTGGAAACACTGGTGAGGGACACTGGGGGGGACACTGGGGTTACAGGCTGTCCCCTGATGTCCCCTCCTGTCTCTGATGTCCCCCGCTGTCCCCGCTGACCCCCGCTGTCCTCTCATGTCCCCTGATGTCCCCGCTGTCCCCTCCTGTCCCTCCTGTCCCTGTGTCCCCGTGTCCCAGGGAGGTGTTCATGGGCGAGGACCCGGCCCAGCCGCGCCGCTACAAGAAGAAGAAGAAGGAGACGCCAGGGGAGGGGCCCCCCGACTCGCCCACCAACGACGTGAGTGACCCCAAAAACGGGGCACCCCAAAAACGGGGCACCCCTAAACCCGGGCACCCCAAAAACTGGGGGGACCCCACAAGGACCTTTGGGACATCCCTGGACACCTGAGTTCCCCCCAAACCCCATTCCCCTGACACACCTGTGACACCTCCAGCCCTGTGGGTTTTTGGGGTGCCCTGAATCTCCCCAAACCCAGTTCCCCCAACACCTCCACACCTCTCCCAGCCCCTTGTGGGGGTTTGGGGTGCTCTGAATCACCCCAAACCCCATTCCCCCGAGCCCTGTGACACCTTGGGGGAGGCTGTGGGGCATTGGGGTCACCCACGTGGGGCTGGGGGCACCCGGGGGGCACTCACGTGGTCATTAGGGTCACCCACGTGGGCCTGGGGTCATCCACATGGTCACTAGGGTCACCCATGTGGGGCAGGGGTCACTCATGTGGTCACTAGGGTCATCTGTGTGGGGCAGGGGGCACCTCTGTCCCCCAGGGCCTGTCCCCCAGGGTGTGACAGTGTCCCCAGGGTGTGACACAGTGCCCCCAGGGTGTGACAGTGTCCCCAGGGTGTGACACAGTGCCCCCAGGGTGTGACACGGTGTCCCCAGGGTGTTTCTGTGTCCCCATGATGTGACACAGTGTCCCCATGGTGTGACACGGTGTCCCCAGGGTGTGACACGGTGTCCCCCAGGGCCACACCAGGGGCCTGTTCCCGTGTGACAGTGCCCTCAGGGTGTTTCTGTGTCCCCATGATGTGACACAGTGTCCCCATGGTGTGACACGGTGTCCCCAGGGTGTGACACGGTGTCCCCCAGGGCCACACCAGGGGCCTGTTCCCGTGTGACAGTGCCCTCAGGGTGTTTCTGTGTCCCCATGATGTGACACAGTGTCCCCATGGTGTGACACGGTGTCCCCAGGGTGTGACACGGTGTCCCCCAGGGCCACACCAAGGGCCCGTTCCTCGTCAGCGCGCCGCTCTCCACCATCATCAACTGGGAGCGCGAGTTCCAGATGTGGGCCCCGGCCTTCTACGTGGTCACCTACACCGGGGACAAGGACAGCCGCGCCATCATCCGCGAGAACGAGTTCTCCTTCGACGACACCGCCATGAAGGGCGGCAAGAAGGCCTTCAAGATGAAGGTGGGGACAGGGGACACCTGGGGACACCTGCGGGGGGCAGCTGGGGGTGGCGCCTGGACAGCTGGGGGACAGGGGGCAGCTGGGGGTGGCACCTGGACAGCTGGGGGACAGGGGACAGCTGGGGGTGGCGCCTGGACAGCTGGGGGACAGGGGGCAGCTGGGGGTGGCACCTGGACAGCTGGGGGACAGGGGGGGGTGGCACCTGCGGGTGGCACATGGACAGCTGGGGAGGGCACCTGGACACTTGGGGACAAGGGGGACAGGGGGTGGCACCTGACACTTGGGTCATGGGTGCGTCTGTGTCCCCAGGGTGTGACACAGTGTCCCCAGGGTGTTTCTGTGTCCCCATGATGTGACACAGTGTCCCCAGGGTGTGACAGTGCCCCAGGGTGTGACAGTGCCCCAGGGTGTGACAGTGCCCCAGGGTGTGACAGTGCCCCAGGGTGTGAAGTGCCCCCAGGGTGTGACAGTGCCCCAGGGTGTGACATGGTGTCCCCAGGGCCTGTCCCCAGGGTGTGACACGGTGTCACCAGGGTGCGTCTGTGTCCCCAGGGTGTGACACAGTGTCCCCAGGGCGTGACACAGTGCCCCCAGGGCCTGTCCCCAGGGTGTGACAGTGCCCCAGGGTGTGACAGTGCCCCAGGGTGTGACACAGTGTCCCCAGGGCCTGTCCCCAGGGTGTGACACGGTGTCCCCCAGGGCCACACCAAGGGCCCGTTCCTCGTCAGCGCGCCGCTCTCCACCATCATCAACTGGGAGCGCGAGTTCCAGATGTGGGCCCCGGCCTTCTACGTGGTCACCTACACCGGGGACAAGGACAGCCGCGCCATCATCCGCGAGAACGAGTTCTCCTTCGACGACACCGCCATGAAGGGCGGCAAGAAGGCCTTCAAGATGAAGGTGGGGACAGGGGACACCTGGGGACACCCCAAAACCCAGGCATGGCTGAGGGGGGCACCCCAAAACCCCGGGATGTGGGTGGGGAGCTGTTGGGTCCCTGCCTGGTGGTGGACGAGGCCCACCGCCTCAAGAACAACCAGTCCAAGGTGGGGGGCACCCCAAAACCCGGGCATGGGGCTGGGGGGCACCCCAAAACCCAGGCATGGCTGAGGGGGGCACCCCAAAACCCCGGGATGTGGGTGGGGAGCTGTTGGGTCCCTGCCTGGTGGTGGACGAGGCCCACCGCCTCAAGAACAACCAGTCCAAGGTGGGGGGCACCCCAAAACCCGGGCATGGGGCTGGGGGGCACCCCAAAACCCAGGCATGGCTGAGGGGGGCACCCCAAAACCCCGGGATGTGGGTGGGGAGCTGTTGGGTCCCTGCCTGGTGGTGGACGAGGCCCACCGCCTCAAGAACAACCAGTCCAAGGTGGGGGGCACCCCAAAACCCGGGGCGTGGGGCTGGGGGCACCCCAAAACCCCGGGGTGTGGGTGGGGGGTTGTTGGGTCCCTGCCTGGTGGTGGACGAGGCCCACCGCCCCAAGAACAACCAGTCCAAGGTGGGGGGCACCCCAAAACCCGGCCATGGGGCTGGAGGCTCCCCAAAACCTCCCGTGGGGCTGGGGGCACCCCAAAACCCAGGGATATGGGTGGGGGGCACCCCAAAACCCCGGGATGTGGGTGGGGGGCACCCCAAAAGCTGGGGGTGTGGGTGGGGGTACCCCAGAACCCAGGGATCCCTGATTTCAGGGTCTGAGGGTGCTCAGGAAGGTGTCAGGGGTGCCCCTGGTGGATTTTGGGGTCTGAGGCCGTGTCCCCAAGTGTGTTTCAGGGTGTCCCCAGGTGTGTTTCAGGGTGTCCCCAGGTGTGTTTTGGGGTGCCGAGGTGTGTTTCAGGGTGTCCCCAGGGTGTTTCAGGGTGTCCCCAGGTGTGTTTTGGGGTGCCCCCGGTGGATTTCGGGGTCTGAGGCCGTGTCCCCGCAGTTTTTCCGGGTGCTCAACGGGTACAAGATCGAGCACAAGCTGCTGCTGACGGGGACCCCGCTGCAGAACAACCTGGAGGAGCTCTTCCACCTGCTCAACTTCCTCACGCCCGAGCGCTTCAAGTGCGTCCCGGGACACCTCTGCCACCTCCTGGGTCACCTCTGCCACCTGTGCCACCTCCTGTGTCACCTCCATGTCATCTGTGCCACCTGGGTCACCTGTGCCACCTCCTGTGCCTCCTCCTGGGTCACCTCTGCCACCTCCTGGGTCACCTCCTGTCACCTATGCCACCTCCGTGTCACCTCTGCCACCTCCTGGGTCACCTCTGTCACCTGTGCCACCTCCTGTCACCTCCTGGGTCACCTCTGTCACCTCCATATCACCTCTGCCACCTCCTGTGTCACCTCCTGTGCCATTTGTGTCACCTCCTGTCACCTATGTCACCTCCTATCACCTGTGTCACCTCCTGTGCCACCTCCTGTGTCACCTCCTGTTGCCTGTGTCTCCTCCTGTCAACTCCCATCCCCTCCTGTCCCACCACATCCTGATGTCCTCACGGTGACCCTGTCCCCTGTCCCCAGTAACCTGGAGGGGTCCCTGTGTCCCTCCCTGTCCCTGTGTCCCCTCCATGTCCCCACGGTGACCCTGTCCCCCTGTCCCCAGTAACCTGGAGGGGTTCCTGTGTCCCTCCCTGTCCCCGTGTCCCCTCCATGTCCCTGTGGTGACCCTGTCCCCGTGTCCCCAGTAACCTGGAGGGGTTCCTGGAGGAGTTTGCCGACATCTCCAAGGAGGACCAGATCAAGAAGCTGCACGACCTGCTGGGCCCCCACATGCTGCGGCGCCTCAAGGCCGACGTCTTCAAGAACATGCCGGCCAAGACGGAGCTGATCGTGCGCGTGGAGCTCAGCCCCATGCAGAAGTAGGCGCTGTCCCCTGCCCGCGGGGCTGTCCCCTGCCCCCCGTGTCCCCAGAGCAGCCGGTGGCACCGCTGTCCCCGCAGGAAGTACTACAAGTACATCCTGACGAGGAACTTCGAGGCGCTGAACTCGCGGGGCGGCGGCAACCAGGTGTCGCTGCTCAACATCATGATGGACCTCAAGAAGTGCTGCAACCACCCCTACCTGTTCCCCGTGGCGGCCATGGTGGGGACACCGGGACACCGGGGACATCGCGGGTGTGGGGGGACACCAGGGGTGTGGGGGGACACCGGGACACCAGGGGACATGGGAGACCAGGGACACCGGGGACATCACGGGTGTGGGGGGACACCGGGGGTGTCGGGGGACATGGGGACACCAGGGACAGCGGGGGCGTGGGGGGACACGGGGACACCA